TTATTTAATAAAAAAAAAACTGAATTTATAAAGTCTCAGGAACCTTTTTTTTTCTCAAAGCGGTATCTTTATTTGCCACATTAGAAACTGACATTGGAATTAAAATAAGCCTTATGAAATGAAGTCAAAGAGATTCACATGTATACAAGCATAATATATAATTATTTTTCACATTATTATGTCATTAATTTGTTTGCATAAATTTGCTGAAATATGTCTTATTTAGCATTCAATATGGGAAGAATAAATTGTTCGATTTGGTCATTATAAGTTGTTTTATTAACCAAATAGAGCAACTTAGGACTCCCATCTAAGAATAATAACATTTAGTTACATGCAATGTAGTTCTTTCTTGCAAGTTTTCATCTTATTTATATAAATTATTTTGACAAAGTCACAGTGATCCACAAAGAAAGTTTGAACGGGATTAAATAAAAACACAATTATAAAGAAAAGTGCAAATTGAACTTAGGAGGTAAATAAAACATATAAGTACAATTATTTAATTTGATGCACTTTGTTGGCCTCAAAGGGAAATTAATTTACAGCAAAGTCTACAAGATCCACACCACAACACACACATTTTCTATTCCATTCTCATAATAAGAGAAAAAACAGTTTTCAGCTCTTTTTTATGTAACAGTACATATACATGAAATAGCTAACAAGCAGGCAAATATCTATAATAACTTTGTACTTTGAACTTTATAGTCTTCATTTTGTCAGTGCTGAACTTGTTTATAAAACTACAGGTGGTGGATGGATGGTATGTTTTTTTGTGAGTGTGCAAGCAGCATTAGAGGTTCAAGTGTGACTGGGAGTGTGAGTGAAGAAGGTCACCAGTTCAAGCGCCGGTCACTTCGCTGCCCAGCACTCTTTGCTTGCTGTTTACAGATGGCGGCTACATCAGGCCACTGCAGAGGGAGTCTGAATGTGCATGTGTTTGGGGGCTAGTGGGTGGGCTGAGACATGAATCAGGGAAAGAGGCAGGATGGGGAACACGCACCAGGACCAAAATGTGACGATGCGTGTCGGAATCAGCACACCCCCTCAACAGGTCCGCTCTCAACATGAATATGTTCATCATGGTGCTTGCAGTCATGCATGCGCTGTGCCGAGATGCTAGCACACACACTGAAACGCAAACTTCAGAGAACTTTCATGATCGGATCCACTTTTACTATTTTAATGGAAAACTTACGGAATAGTTTACTAATTTGATCATTTAAACTGATTAGTATTTCTCCACTTCAAAACATATTCTTTATTTCAGAAAATTAAAGACAAATGTGTTCAGACAGCAGCCAAATGCTGCACTGACTCCAGTCACAGCTCTTACATTGTGACTCTTCACCAAACTTTTCAATTAAATGTATGTGTAAACAAATGGCCTTCATGATCACATGGAAATGTACTCAGGAGTCTGTCATCAAAGCTTGAATAAAGGCAGCAAATACTGAGCTTTAATTATTTGGCAGCTTGTGAGAAAATATGTTGTGGAAAAGTAAAGGATTACTTGACTGTTTTCTTGGCAAGTCACTTCCTGGTTCCTTAGCAACTGCTCAGAGAGATGAAACAGTCTGAAACCCAATGAACTGAGCAAATCAGACATCTTTACTTAATGTCCCCCCTTATTTGTACCGATACGCCAGAAAATGTGTATCCGGTTAATGAAAGCTCTACAGATAATGCAACCTGATGTGACCATGTAACACATTTCATTGGCTAACTTACATGTTTTCTTTTCACCTATTCAGATTTCACTGAAAAACTTTTGTCTTTTCATCGTTACGTGCTCCAGTGTTTGTATAGGGGCCTGACACAAAGACACAGGAGATGAACAACCGTCCATGTAAGTATTTAAGCGGCGCCTTGAAGAGCTCATACTCCTTGAAAGCTCCTTGCATTGAAAACCAAGAAACACAGCAGACAGGTCAGGTTGAAAGTCAGGGGGAGAATTAAAGAAGAATTATGTCAATAAATAATATTCCAAGCTTAGAACATTTCATAGAGCACTGTTCAATCTTCTGAGCAAACTTTGGCACATCTGCAAAATTGTCAAGAAACATCTCCACCTAAACTAACTGAATGACCAAAGAAAGCCTCCATCACCAAAGCATGAACCACGGAGATGGCAGAATCATGCTTTGGGAATAATTTTCAGATCAAAGTTAATGTGAGGATGAACAAAGTTGAATACAGAGCAGTCTGAAGAAAACCTGTCAGCAGTTGTAAAAGACTTGTTATTGTGGTGGAGGATCACCTTCCTGCAGGACATCAGCCCTACATGTACAGCCAGAGCAACACTGGGACGGTTTGTATCAAACCACTCTAAGTCTAGGCCTAAATGTGTATTTGAAATTTGCTTGAAAATTGCTATAAAGTTGCTGACTTGGACCTGATATTTCCCAGAAATCTAATAATCTTTGATCTCTCAGGAAATAATATTACGACTTTTATGTAACAGGACATTCACTGTTGAACATTGAAAGATGACCACCTGCAGAGTTGCAAGTTCATTGTGATTTTCCTTTCCATGTTTCAGAGCTTCTCTGTTGTGACAAAACTGTAGGCGTTTGCAGACATTCCCTTACTGGGAGTTCTTTGGACTTTCATTGTGTTTGTTCCGGTGAAAAACCAGGTCATAAGCTGCGAGAATCACTCTGACAATGTGTGCCCACTCTTTCTCCACCCATCTGGCAACCAGTGTAGCCATGTTCAGCTTTTCAGCGTCTCTTTTGTGCATCTGCGTGCCTTTATATGGCTGTCACTCATCTCATCTCATTTTTTTCATCTCAAGCTCCATCACTCCAGCGCATCTACATCCCTTTCACACTCTTCCCATCTGGCTGTGCTTTTCTTGCCTGGGTTTATTCCAGTCGGCGTGTTCATGTGCGTAGGTCTTGGGTATTTGCTGACGTTCACCTTCGCACGTGTTGGTTGCAGCGGATATATCAGGGCTCCACCAGGAAGGTCCAAGAAAGGAGCAGGCAGGAAAAGACTTGCTGGAAAGGAAAATGTCTAAAAGTTCAGTCTTTGACAGAAAGGAAAATATTTAACTTACTACTTTAAATGGTGAAAAACCCTTTTCTTTCAAATTTGATGAGCTATTGCTACATGAGTTTTTCAGCCAACAATCAACACTATCTAACATAAATCTACAGAGAATTTGAACTAATTTGCCTTTGGGATCAATACCGTATTTTTGAGTTTGAATTTGAATATCTCAGCTTTGGATACCAGCAAAAGTGAATGCAGAGCAGCAAATGTCTGCTCTGGTACTTCAATGAAAATGAATTTAAAAAAAAAAAACAAAAAAAAGAACAGCTATTTGGAGATTCATTTTTCTTTTTAGAAAGAAATCCTTTTGTATGAAATCATTTATTAAATAATACACATTCATTCACCACTGTTAAAAGTAAAATAAAATAAAATAAAATAAAATAAAATTAAATTACCCTCTCCAAGAATCAGGGATCCACTCAATCATCACTATTTTAGCAGAGCACCTTTGGCAAATTTGCTAATTTGGTTTGACACATTTTCCACACAGACGTAATTGAATCAGTCCAAACTCAATTGCTGAACCATAATAATCAAACAGGTTATTACTTTTTAGTTGAGCTTGTATCATGTCATATTTTCAGTGAATTTGTGAATAGCAGAAGATTCCTCTAAGTTGTACCTTTCATGATAGCCCTTATTGGTAACTGTATGTTGACACATAAATGATTTGCAGCGATTTGAAGCATATAAGTCAGGTATGTATAATGTGATTTATATGGAGATTCTAAATGGATGAATGATAGATGGTTCACAAAAATGATTTTTGAGTCATGAATGGTCCGCCTTCTGATGTTCTCCTACTCCTCTAAACCGGCTTGTATTTGGATAGAAATGTAAACATGCTGCTGGTATGAGCATTTGTGATGAGACCAATGTCGGTTTCTGAGTCACTTTGGGGTAAAAGTGGGGGACGAGGTGAAGGAAGGGCACATCTGTCCTGCAGTCTGTCCACCCCTCTCTATCCTTCTGCAAGCTGCTAAAAATACTCTGCTGCAGATTGCAAAGACAGGCTAAGACCCACAGAAACCGCAGAGATTTGCTGTATCTATTTGCATGACATGATTCAGAAAGGGTGAGATATAATTGTAAGCCAGAGACAAGAGAAGAAGAAACGATGAGGTGGTTGGTAACAAAGGACAATAGAAGAGTGATTAGATGTGCTTTTGTGAGTCACTCCGCCTCGCTTTGGGGAGTTGTATTTTTCTGGCATAGACGCAACTTGTGACGTCCCTTTGACGAACCAACTTTATGTGCCCAAAAAAGTCACTGTCATATCCACAGTGACGGACAAGCGTTGCTATTCCGGGAACGCCGAATTGGCTCCTGACTTTAGAGCATTCAGTCACATCCGTCTGCTGTTCTGGAAGGATTTAGTCCTCTTTCCTGATGCCTGTCTTGGATTCAGTCTTGTAAACTCTCCAAATAAGACCAGATTTTGGATTAGGAAAACGATGAAAGAATATGGGAGCCCAACGGTTTGAAGAGGCTCTGAAACTTGTGCACATCCTGGTTCAAATTTCTGATTTGTAAGACTTTGATAAATCATTTTCAAACCCAAAAAATTTGGCACATGCTCAAATTGTCCAAGAAGAAAATGTGGATGTTTACCATATTAATAAAGAAAGAGAAAAATAAAAACAAAGGAACAAAAACCTGACCGGATACACTTTCAAAACCTTAAAATAATACTTTTTGGAAGTCATTTTGATTTTATTTCAGCATCTTCCTGACCTTTCGCGGGTCACCAGCGTCAGCAAAAATGGCAAAAACTGTACAAAATTGATGGAAACATGGAGGTAAAACTGAAGATGTTATGATTTGTGTTTTAGGTTTTACTCTCGTGTAATTACTGGATACAAAAGGGTCCTCTAAAGGGTGTGACTTGACTAGTTTAATGACGTGTTTTCTGGGCGGAAACCCCCGCCCTGGTGTGAATGGTTCAGTCCGTGTAAACTCTCCCCTCTCCCTGCTGCGGTTCTTGGTTCGGTCGATTTGAGCGCGAAACCTCTCCAACAAACATGGCGCCCAAAGCAGGTGGGTGTGTTTTGTTGTGACAAACCGCAGGGAAAAAGCTGATTGTTTTATTCACATTATGAAGGCGCCATCCGCTAATCTCCCTGTTAAAGGGTTATCTGCACATTGTGTCGCTAGCTTCACTCTTCGTGACGTCACTTGTCATTTGAAAGCCTCTGAATTAAGTTCCGGAACACATTTTTAACCCTGAACTCGCTTCCGGACGCCATTCTAGGACGGACTGCAGATGTAATGGCGTTATAATCCCTCATTTAATCCAGACGGGCATTAATTTGAAGCATTTACGGATGAATTGAGGCTGTTTTTATTGTAGTGTTTGTTGCGTTCAGGCCGCAGAGGGACGAAGCGCAAAGCGGAGGAAGTTCAGACATTTACGGAGGAGAAGAAGGAGAAAGGAGAGGAGGAGGGCGGCCAAAATGGCCTCAAAGTGCTCATTGAACACTGGTGAGCTCTTTTATCAGCTTATTATTATTATTAATAGATGAATGAAGAGTTGGTGTTAAATGAGAGGACATGTCCCCAGATCTTCACAGGACAAACAAAGTTGCAGACAGGTATTTGTTTAGTGTGTAGGAGCACAAGAGTTCATGTTATTAGAAGACAGATTACTGAACCTCAAATTAAAAATGAGAGGTAAAATATATTTATGTGGATCTAAAGACCTCTGAAGTTCATTAACTCCAATATTTCAATTTCTGCCTGTCTTTTACTGATGCATCACATCCACTTTCAGGCAAGCAACACTTATTAAAATATTTTCCAAAAAACTTTTTGATGGTCATCCATTACAGTGAGCCAGGTCACTTCCACGTTTCTCTGCTAGGCGACAGAACACCGTGCAGCCATGTTGTACACCCTTCTACTGAAATCATTCACTGATTACTTTTAAAGAAAGCAACTGAATTCTGGAAATACCCATGGACGTGAAAATACATCTCAATAGCTGTCATCCTGTGTATTTTCGATGTTTTCCTGCTTCAACTCAGCTGAATCAAGTGACTCCAGCAGAACTTGATAACATGATGTGATTCAGTCGTTTAAAACTCCTGGAAAAGGAAATGATTTTCCAAACTCTCTTTAAACAATGGCTCAAATTGAAGTATCTTCATTTAACATCTGACACGTACTTTTTGCACACACACAATGATGTTAGTTGACAACGTGTCTGTAAAATGGTCTGGCCTTGAAGTAAGAAACGGCACGGATTGTTTACATTCACACTTATTCGTCACAGTCTACTCTGGGATGTCTCATCTCGAGTGGATATTTACGAGTTTGCTCGTAACTGGCATTAAACGTTCCCTGAAAGACAATTTGCAAATAAATATAATGCGGCCCATTCTTTTCCAGCCAGCGGATGAATGAGCCGGGTTAAAGAAGACCATTTATGAAGGAAGAGTTTATTATGTCTATTAGGATTTATAGTGTAAATATGCAACTTCCTGATAATTAATTAATGTCCTGAGATTCATTGTTTGTTTAAAATTACTCAACATTATTACTTTTTTCTTTTAAATAGGATTTATATCTTGACATCCAGTAAACCAGGCATGTTTACTTCAGCCACATGGTCAGAGCCAGGTCACCATAACTGTTTTTCTTGTGAAATGATTCATCTAAACCGTTCTTTTCCACCACAGGAAGTACATGTGTGGGGCTTTTGCTCATTCTTGATCTTCTGTGTCCTGCAGCAAAAGCTGACGAGTGTATGGGCGTAACGCCGAGGAGGTGAAATCTGCCCTTCTGGCTGCCCGCCCCGGGCTGGCGGTGGTCCTCAACCCTGAGAAGCCCCGCAGGAACAGCTTTGAGATCACGCTGCTGGACGGAGGCAAAGGTGAGGAGGGATGAGATGGAGGCGCCAAGAGTAACGGGGCCTTTTGGTCTCCCCAAGGGAACACCGATGTTCTTGCCAAGTTTTTGCCCTTTCGTATCGTAGAATCATCGTCATGATTCGTTCAGCTGACTGTCCATTTTTTCTCAAAGTTGAAGTAAAAATTTCCCTAAGTGGGAGATCAAACCAAACATTTCAGAAAAATAATCCCTTGACGTTTTCTTGGTTTTTCCACCTGCTTCAGTTGTTTGTTGTTAGATATTTCCAGTTATTGTCTTTATACTTATGATTTGACTTGCTGGTTCGAATAACTCATCTCTTTTGTGTCATCCCTAAAGAAACATCTCTTTGGACGGGAATAAAGAAGGGTCCACCTCGTAAGCTGAAGTTTCCCCAGCCAGACAGTGTTGTTGCTGCTCTGCAGGAAGCTCTTAAGACTGAATAAACACCAAGTGAAGGTTGGTCAAAGCTGACATGTTTTTAGTGTAGGCAGATATTAGTCCAAGCATTTAAATTGTCTCATAATACCATTTAATCAAGCATTTTTACATCCGTTACCACATTTTGTGTGCCTTAAGTGAAATTCAAGAGATATTTATCTTTTTCTTTATGTAGCTGAGCATCTTGGAGATCTGACTGGTGGAAGCAGAATGATGAGGGGTGACCAATGAGATGTTCTCAGTCTCTCCTCTGATGAGCCCAGCTCCATCTGAAGTCTCCTGGACGCACGGCGACACCTAGTGGATCATCTGAGCAAATGCAACTTTATGTTTTGCAAAGTTTGTCTACATCCCAGTTCTGAAAACTTTTGTTGTTTTTTTAACCTAAATAAAGTAATTTTATTGATGTGTTTTGTGAGTTATTTTCAGTAAATAAATAAGTTAATGTTAGAATCTGTCTTCAAACAATCACATATTCACCACTAATAAATGAATTGATGCAGTCAGCTTCATGGAAAAAAGTTAATATTCTAATATGTTTTCATTTTAATATAATTCTAAGAGATATTTTTTTGAAAAATTGGTTAAACTTGTGAATTTCTTTCCCTAAATTTACCTTTATCTTATTCATTATCAGTTCTAAAACAAGCCATATTTCACACAACTACAAACTCATTTTTTGTCATCCATAATTGTTGAGAATGTCTAACACTACAAGCTTACACACTAGAGTCCAAAACCTCAACACAATTTGGCTTTTGGTATTCTTAGTGTACTGCAAGTGAGGTAAATGATTAGAAATGTGCATTTCTATATAGGTGGAGAAAAAGTATTCCAGTTTGCTCTTGTAGGAGCAATCGTTTGTATCAACCAAAAATTACTTCATTCAAAAAAGTAACTAAATCGATGAGGAAAGGAGCCTCTGGATTATTCGCTCCAGTAAAGCGAACAATCCTTGGTTATTTGAACAACCCAGGCTATTTGGAATGGTCCAATAAAGCAGTTTAATAAAGCTATTTAGAAATAGGACATTGCAGAGCTAATGCTGTCCGCAGGGGGGCAGTAATTTAAAAAAAGCATGTCCTCTATTTGCGTGACATCATCATTACGCGACAGCGATTCCTCTTGAGAGCTGCACTATTTTTTTGTCCTCCAGAAGTAAGTTTTAAATCTAACGTGTGAGTATTACGCAGCACATAAAGCAACATATTAATCACCCTATTGAGAAAACTGGAGCCATGTGGCGCACTTGTGTGTTATTATTCCTGGTTTTATTTGATTGTTTTTGTAGATTAGCAGCGGCATGCTAAGTGAGAGCTAGTTTGTTTTCTACTTTCATCTCGTTTTGTCTTCGTATCTTAACCCAATACGAAGTTGTATCGTGTATTCTGGCATCCGTTCGCTTTTTCTATACATAAATGTTTTTTATGATAATTAATAGCTGCATATTTTCAGTTATTTTGCTTTGGAAGACACGTTTACCTAAAACAACAATATTCCTCTCCTAAAGCTTGTCAAAAACTACCTCCTTTTGTTTGCTGAAGCAGAATGAAGCGTTTTCTAAAAGTATAAGATAATCACTGAATGGAATGTGATTTCTGCTCGACAGTAATGGCAGCAGAGGGTGTGGAAAAGACCAGCGAAGATGCGTCTTCTTCGGGGAAGGTGTGCACCAGGTTCGACCTGGAGAAGGAGACAGAGCTTCGCTTCGAGGTGGAGGCCGGAGAGGCCGCGGATCAGGTGGAGATGGAGCTCCTGACGGGGATGGCTGAGGTGTTTGGCTCTGAGCTGAACCGCAACAAGAAGTACACCTTCGGACCAGGCTCCAAGATCGCAGTTTTCACTTGGCAGGGCTGCAGTGTGAATCTGTATGGAAAGCCAGAGGTAAAGGGCCTGGTGTAGATGTTTGAAAGTTTTCATTTTGTATTCTTATCTGCAATAAAACATAAACCAGTGTTATTTTTGATAAGAATAAAACTTGGGTTCTGCAGTAGTTGCAAATCAGGAAATAATTTACGAAGTTGGGTTAATGATTGCGCTCTTACTTTGAAATTGCTTGAGGTCTTTCCTTCTCTTTTTCTTAATAAATTCAGGTAGCGTGGTAATAAAAGTGTTGTTATCACTGCAGGTGGCCTATGTGTCCAAGGATACTCCTATGCTGCTCTACCTGAACACCCATGCTGCCCTGGAGCAGATGAGGAAACAAGCTGAGCGGGAAAATGAGAGGGGACCCAGAGTAAGTTTTAATAAGAATCTTTTAGATCTCTTCATAAACGCTTCAGAACAAAATGATAATAAGACCACTAAATGCTTGTTCTCCAGGTGATGGTCGTGGGACCTGCAGATGTGGGGAAGTCCACAGTGTGCCGGCTGCTTCTCAGCTATGCTGTGAGAGTTGGAAGGAGACCTACGCTGGTGGAACTGGATGTTGGACAGAGTGGGGTAAAAGCCTTTTCATTTTTAATTTTTTAATATCAATATGGCATTGTAAGGTTGTTGATCTGTAAGAGGACAACTACCTTATTTGTTATCACTCCATTTCCAGTGAGATGAATAATGCTGAAATACACAAATAACTTGTAGTGTCATATGTATGTTTGAAATACGTAGTTATTTGAAGGAATTTGTTCAGTAATGCTTCATGATATAAGGAAATATGAAAATGAAATGTTATGAAGTACTGTTGTAGTTGGTTGGGACAAATCCACATATTCCTCAGTCTTCTCTTTTCCTCTTTTCAATCATGTTGAGCCCAAAGCTCTTCATGAAGTTTAGCTTCTTATCCAACAAAATATATATAAAGTTTGGGCATAAGGGGCAAAGAAAATCCTCCTAAACAACTAAATGCGGTATTGTCAGGCACACCATTATTGCTTGGGACTTGGAAAAAAATACAATAATCAAGAAATAAAAATAACACCAGCTTTATTGTAGGAGTCTTGAACTTATAAGGTGCTAACGGTTGCAGGGAGAGGTAGATCTATTGTAGTGGCTAATAACAAAGATTAGATTTGTTGCATTCAGAATCTGTAACACTAATATCAGTGTTGCATGAGTTCTGTTTCTGTGCAGCTATTGTTGATGTGTATCCAGGTGAATCTATGGTAATCATAGGAGCCATAAATTGATGTGAATTATGTTACTCTCCTAATTTCCTGTGATTTTAAAACTATGTTGTTGTTGTTTTGAGGACTAAGCTGTGTACTGCAATATGTTGTCTCAGGTGTCTGTTCCAGGGACAGTATCAGCTCTGTGCATCGAGCGTCCTGCAGACGTGGAGGAGGGCTTCTCTGTCCAGGCTCCTTTAGTTTATCACTTTGGTTCTACGACTCCTGGAACCAACATCAAACTTTACAACAAGGTAAGAAGGAAGATTCTGCATTTACAACTTGGTTTGTTTTGTATTTGTCTGACTTTCTTATCTAACCTCATAGCTGACGTCGTGCCTGGCCGAAGTGTTCTCTCAACGCTGTGAGGTAAACAGGAAGGCCAGTGTTGGTGGCTGCATCATCAACACTTGTGGCTGGGTGAAGGGTTCTGGGTACCAGGCTCTGGTCCACTGTGCCTCCACCTTCCAGGTGGATGTGGTGCTTGTGCTGGACCATGAGAGGCTCTACAATGAACTCAAACGGGACCTGCCGCACTTTGTACGTGTTGTGCTGCTGCCAAAGTCCGGAGGAGTGGTGGAGCGCTCCAAGGAGTGCCGGCGGGAGGCACGGGATGAAAAGATCCGCGAGTACTTCTATGGCTTCCGCGGGCTGTCCTTCTTCCCTTTCTCTTTTGAAGTGCGATTCTCAGATGTTCGCATCTACAAAATAGGGGCGCCGTCCATCCCAGACTCCTGCCTGCCGCTGGGAATGTCACAGGACGACACGCAGCTGAAACTGGTGCCAGTAACTCCAGGGAGGGACCTGACGTATCACATGCTGAGTGTGAGCAGCGTCGACGACGGCGATGAAGACGCCAGGAAGAGCATTGTGGAGAGCCCCGTCTGCGGATTCATTGTGGTCACAAACGTTGACACTCAGGCGCAGGTGATGAAAGTGCTGTCACCTGCACCCAGACCACTACCCAGACACACGCTGCTCATCATGGACATCCGCTTTATGGACATGAAATGAAACCACATGTTGGAGAAGAGGACTTGGGATGAAGTAATGATCATATTTGTGAGCACTTTTACTTTCTAAGTGCTTTGCAAGGACTTAAAAGAAAACGAGATAGAATTAAAATGAATACTTTCCTTTATTGTTTACACTGTGCACTTATAGGTGCTGAAATATTTTTCTTGATAATCTGTTTTATAGAATGTCTTTTCTTCTCTCTTGTACAAATAAATTTTAACTATGAGAAACCCCGTGTATTAATTATACAGTTTGCTATCACACCTCCAATTCCAAAAGCTAATCATGTAATCTATCCTAACTGATGGCTAATTTACTAAATTCTGAAAAATTTTAAATTATATCACTTCTAAGTGAAGTTGTAGATTTTTTTTTTTTTTACCTGTTAAGTTTGTGTATGAAATGGGAGTAATGGCTGACATTTTGTGTGGTCCACATCCAGTGTTTATTGTGTCTGTTTTTACTGCTGCAAAGGACACCAACCTGTTTGGTGGTGACCAGTAGCAACACTATGGCAGTAAATGTTTTGGAGCATGACATGAAGAACTTATTTCATATTTGGTGTGTAAACACGTACCAACTCAGGCAATATTCAGACCTTGATTAAAGTCAAAATTTTTATTTATTTATTTTTTTCCTCAGAATTATGAGATTAAAGTCAGAATTCTTTTTTTCAGTGGCCGTAATTCTCTCTGTAGTACATAGCCATCTATCAGTGCTACGGTAGGAAAATCTGACGAAGCAGCTTTGCACATGCGTGATTCATTTCCTATGTGGACACAGAATGGGGTTCAGTTCAGATGATCCCAGGTATGAATATTTAAATTAAGGAGGCAACTAAAACCTAGATACCATAATGGTTTGAATTTAATTACTGTATCTTATAAGCGGGGGATGCCGATGACGTGTTTGCACACACATCAGGAAGCATGTAGTTGCGCTCCTGTATGTATTTGTTAAAAAGCATCGGGTAGTCCTCTTTCATACTGTAGTTATTTCTTTACTAGTTAAAAACGTATGCTGTCGCTTTTCCTGGAGGCCACGCCCCCTTTGCTTCTGATTGGCTGTTCCTCCAACCTGGGAAACGACAGGCCAGTTCCTGGATTCCGATGTCGGCCTAGAAAGCGGCTAAGTAGTTTGCTGGTGGCTAACTCAAAGAGGACTAAAACGACCCACACACACCACAGGGAAGACAACTCTACACGTCGACATTAAGGTACGTGTTTAGCTGCTGTCTTTAGTGACTGTTCGGGTAAAATTCTCTACGTTTGCCCCTCGAATC